TTTTAAATTTTTATTTTTAATACATAATAATAAAAATTCTTAAATTTAATTAATATTAAAATAAAAAAGAAAATGAAGTAAAGCCAATATTAATGATGAAGCTAATGAAACTAGCACTACTTTCAGCATTACCTCCAATCCTAATGTAAAATTTAATTTATCTTATAATAAAAATTTAGGTAAAATGAAATTTTTATTAATTCACTATATAAATGATAATTTTTATATTAACTTTATATTAACAAATATTAAAGAAAAAGAATATGAAGATTCAATTAATGAAAATAAAAAAAGTAAGAAATTTATCTTTTTTTTTTTTACAAATTTACAATACTTATTTTTTTATATTTATTTTGATTAATTTATATAAAAAGAAATATTACAGAAAAGAACAAGAAGTGTAAAAAGGGAAAAATTTAAAAAATATTGATTTTTTAATTTTTTTAATTTCTATTTTTTTTTATTTTTATTATATTAATAAAATCTAAATTGCTTAATTAAAGCATATAAAATATATGTTTTATCCATGATTTTGCATCTGTTAAAGTATTATAAAATATCTGTTTTATCTGTAATTTTTGCATCTGTTAAAGCATTATAAAATATACGTTTTTTCGTGATTTTTGCATCTGTTAAAGCATTATAAAATATATGTTTTTTCCTTATTTTTTGTATACATTTTTTCTCATTTTCCATATTAAGTTTAAGGTTTTTACTTAAAGAAAAAACATATATATTATACTGAAATTTCATAAAAATTATATATTATAAAACTTTATATTTTTATAGAATTTTTATATTAAATTTTTTATTAGGATGCTGTTTGATTTTTACTCTCAATAGGTCCCTTCCTCCAGTTTGAAAATATACTGAGTTTTTTCTAAATAGCTATTATATCTTTCTTCTTATATAAAAGCTCACCATATAATTGAACATTGACTTGATTAGAATTATTATTAGTATTTCTTATCATAATTGTGTTTATCTCTAGTTAGCATATATTCAATTTTGATACAGAATACTGATTATTAACCTGAGCAGTGATCACCAGCTCAAAAGATTTTTTGCTGAATCATGCACAGTACTTTCAGCTAGATTGTGTGACAAAAAATGTGAATCATCAATTAGAATCTTGTATGACATATTAATTTTTGCATATATTTGAAAAGAAAACATATTAACTTTTGTTCATTATTTTTTCTTCAAACAAATATGAGAAAATGTGAAAGAGCGACTAGTTGCAATATAGGGCTTACCATATAAGCAAATAGTACTGATAAAGCATATGTTATAAAATGCTAAGGACTTTAAAATTTTGAGATCACCAGGTGTAAACTAACTATATGTTTTTTCTGTAGGTCTAATTCCTTTGAGATCTTTCTATGTGAAAAGGTATGAAGATTCCATTTGCATATGCTTTTATAAAGTTTAGTATCAGATGATAATACTAATTGCATCTTGTATTTCCTTAACTTTTTCCTTTCCAACAGCAAGATATAAAGCATTTCAAACGAATAAAAAGAAATGAACTGTGGATCAAGTATTTAGAAATGACTATTTTGATTATATCTATTATATAATGATTATAGGTATAGAGTGGTATTTATAATATATACTTCAGATGGCATTTACTATATAAGTGGCAGTAGAATATCAGATTAATCTTATAAAGTTAGCTGTCAAAAAAATTTTTGAATTACTTCATAGTAACATGAAAAGGGTAATTAGACTCATTGTAAGGTTGTTAAAAGATCATGTTAGTGTAAATAGTTTCCTATTAGCAAGAAGGTTAGAATTAAAAAAATTATCAAAAAATAATATGTATCACAAGCTACATCCTGAACTTTATATTTATTCTTTGCATGTATTAATAAAAATTTTTTCTTGATAAAACTTCCTGATCTTAGTTCAGGAAGTGACTTTATAACCTACATTTTTTCTTAACAGAATGTACATATACTAATAGATTATTGAATATTTTATATCTTTTATAAAATATTATTAATTATGACATCTAAATTTGAATTATTACGACAGCATATTACTGAGTTTGAGGCTGAGAATGCAAAGTTGAGGCAAATTATTGAAAAGAATGCCAGGCGTGATACTGAGAATGCTAAACACAAAGTCAGGATCAAGGAATTGGAGAAAAATAGTGTAGATATTTCAGCTAAGAATGCTAAGCTTAAAGCTGAATTAGCCAAATTAAGATATGATTTTGATTCTTCTAACTTCATAAAACCTTAGCAATATCAGCATGTTACTAATATGCAGAACTTATGTTCTGTTAAAGAAGAAGAGATATCAGCTGCATCACAGCCATATGCCTCCCATGATATACCTGATCCTGTAATAGATCAGCCCATAAATGAATCACCTAGTAGTAACGTAAATATCAAGCCATTAGAGAAAAATATAATGGACTCTTTTCTGGATGAAGTGAATAAGAAAATTGTTAGTGATGAGATAAGGTAGAGAAAGTAGGATGAGAAGCTTGCAAAGTAGAATCCATCTCTTCTGAAAAAAGTAAACAGGTATCTGTTAATAAAAAGATACTTCGCAAGAAAGAACAAAGGGAAAAATTCATTCAGAAAGCATCTGAGGATTCAAGCATCAAATGTTCTAATACTATAGATGAGCTAAGCTTAAATTTTTTGGATGTTTACCTAGAGCAATCAGTATGAAACTGTAATTCCTCAGCAGTAAAAATGGAGACAACCTTTTCTCTTTTATATAAAAACTTCTCGATGCTGAGGATTTTATTAATAATGTAGTTTAAAAAGCCATTATATGTTACTGTCAATTTAGAAAAGCTCTTATTTAAAGATAAAGTGAAATAATGTCTGAAAAACAAGTTAATCCAGAATCTAATATTGTTAGTAGAATTTTAATATGGAAATTAGAGCTCAGCTTTTTGCATATACTTCTGATGCACTTTATGGAAAAGAATCAAGCAGGTCAAGAAACTCTGGAAGCTTTTTGATATAATAGACATAGATAAAATTTATTTGGTACATTCATTCTCTGTTATAGGCCAATGTAAAAAGATTTGTATCTCACCTAAAAAGGAAAGGATTTATATTAAGAAAAATATCATACAGCTAAAATAAAATGGGCTGAAAAAAATATATATTAGAACGGCTTTAAATAAACATTTTTCACTATAGTTTTTTTGTTTTATTACCCATAGTTTCCCTATGAAATGAAGTGGTGTATCATTAACTGATAATGAAAAATCAATTGTAATCTCTGTTTACAATTATTTTTCAGGGTTAACTTTAAAACAGAGAACTATCAGAAGACCACATTATGCAAGCAGATTTCTGATGCATTAAATATATCAGAAAGTATGATTAGAATGGTTGTGGCAGATTGGAACAAGCGTAATGATAACACTTTTATACTGTATAAAACTCTTGGTTGACCTAAATTGCAACCTGATAAAAATATTTCAGAAATTTTGTATACAAAAATTTTAAATTCTAACAAAACGGCTTAACAACTTTCTACACATATTTTATGACAGTTTCTTATTAAAAAAGGATATAACTTTTCTAAATAGAAGCTTCTTCGAATATTACACTGGTTGGATTTTTATTATAATCAGGGAGAACATAAAAATTCTCTATAAATCACCAAATAATGTTGCATTTCGTAGTCATTATCTTCATTTTCATTTTACCAATTTAGAAGGTTAAAATGATGTTTCACATCATCCAGAAGTTTTTTTTGATGAATCATACTGCTACTTACATCATAATATTTGAAATACATGGATTCTTCATCATGATGTTATTTTGGTATCTAAGTATAATCCGTTAGTGATAATTTTTGAAGCAATTATTGTATTTTAAAATGGATCTTCTAACAAGCTAAATGATGAACTTATTCCTAATTTTACCTATATTTAAGATTTAACAATTAAACCTTCAAGTAATAGAGAAAAAAAAAGGAATAATACTAAAGAATAGAATAATATTTCCGATGTTGTAAAAGAAGCAAATATTATTTCCAATCAAGTAGATTATCATGGAAATTTTACTGCAGAATTTTTGAGGACATTTTTTCAATTCTTTGCAAAACCCTTCATGAAAAATATAGGTCTGTATATATTTATATGGATGAGGCAAGCTATCATAAATGACAAGTTGAAAGTATTCTAACTTTGAATGTAAAAAGCAAGAAATTATTGATTGGTTAAATGCACATGATATTGCTTTTTCAGATGAGTTAAGAAAACTAGAACTTTTGGAACTGGTTCAAATAAATAAAGAAAAGATTTCATTTTCGTATATTAAGATTACAGAATAATATAAACATGAAGTTAATTTTACCCCTTCTTATCTTTGCAAATTGCAACATATTGAAGGTGTTTGATCAATTGTAAAGGGTGAAGTTACGTGATCAGATTTACATTCAAACCCTTTATCTGTTAAAAATACACTATTAAATGCATTTAAAGAAAAAATTTCTTCAAAAGTCATTGTTAGACTTTGAAGAAGAATGCTTAAAAATACTAAAGAATATTTTGAGTCTGATGAGAATATACAATTAATAGATGAAGAATTTGATATTTATAGTAGTTTCAATAATGATCACGTGATATGACATAATTTTTATATTATATCTTTCCCAATATGTAGTGATAATATTCAAATTAAAAAAAAATTTACATAATAAAAATTTTTTTATTGATACAATATCTGAGATACAAATCTTTTTACATTGGTCTATAGCAGTATTTCAAAAATAATGTATGAAGACATTCAGTATATAATAGATAATATGTCAGTTAATTACAGTATTAAGATGGAATCATCTATCTGTGCTCAGCCGAAAGACACTTTGTTAAGTAATGAGAAAAATTCTAAATTGTCATATTCTGATCTCAGTTCAGGAAGTGATAAGAAAAATTCTGAATTATCACATACTTCTAACACATCGGAGGAACAAACACTTAATACATCTTTAAAACTGAGGTAAATATTTCACCTGCATTTCATCTACAAATTCCTATGACTAATTCAACTTATGATCAATCCTATTTCCATAACAAGATATTAGATCAATATCCTAATCTATATAGAGAATTTGGTAGTGAAAATTTCAATTATTATAGAACTACTGATGAGAGAACATGCGAAGGGGTCACTCTAAGACTGACTATTTACCTATTATGTAAATTAAGTTATGATAATGAAGAAATAAAAAGTAGGTATAAAGCTGGATCTTACTTTATTAAATGTAAATAACGTGAAATTGAGATAACTGTATAATTTGGCTACTTTGGCCAGAGGCGCTTCCTATATTTGCATTTCTCTTGAGAAACTATTTTTATACAGGCTAATTTATGTTAACTATTACCTAATTTGAATTGATTTGTAATCATATAAAAAGGCAACATAACCAAGTCTGATAAAATATTAACCTCTGAATATCTGGATTGGCATGCCAAATTAAGTGGGTTACTAAGCGTTTTGACAAATAAGATTCATTCCAATTTATACAAAATATATAAAAAAGAAACTGAAAATGAGCCATGACAATTATCAGAAGGTTACCTTCTCATAAATTCGAAGCCAGAAAATAAAGTATCTAATTTATCTTTTTCTGAGCAATATAAAGAAAAAGGAACTATTACCTTCAAAGCAAAACCTGATTCAGAGTTAATTATCAAGTCTATCTTAAAACATTTCACATACCTGAAATTCTGAAATAGTTTTAGGGTAATTGATAATTATAATTTTGCATCACCTCAACCATGAAGCTCACATGTCCTATCTGTGATGAAAAACATGGGAATTATGGATTACATGGATCATGGTACTGCAAAAATAGGAATCAGCTTCCTTATGATCCTGAATTAGCAAAGTTGTATTTTTAAGATAAGTTGAAATATTGTCTTACCTGCAATACTTCAAGCAATAAACTCAAGTTTGCATTCATAGCATAGAATGAAATAGATCATGTAAATCGATCACCCGAAAAAATTACTCATTGCCATGATAAATGCCTGCCGAAATAATAGGACTGTGCAAATTCTGAGGTAAATGAAATTTTGGTCATACAAGAATTTTTTTGACTATATTAATACTTATATATCATGCTGAATTTCTTAACAAACAATCAGGATAGTACAGCTTATAAAGAGCTGAAAGGCACTTTGCTAAGGCAGAACTACTTTGAAAAATGGCATATATTTAGGGGATGGAATCATGGATGTAAGGTTTGTGAGGAATGTGATCATCACTCACATCTGTATTGCAAAAGTTGTAAGAAGATTGCAGAAGGAATTTATAAGCGATGTGAATGTCCTCAAGTAATTATCAATAAAGCAATGGTGCAAATTTATCAGACATTTTATAATTTTTTCGCATAGAATGAGTGACGGAATTGTGTGAAGCAAAGTGTACTATTATTTTTTCGATCAAGTTTATTGTAGCTTGATAAATAAATACGCAGTAATATTATAGTGTATTACAGGAATAAGTAATTGCGCAAAATAATTTATTCTCAAACTTTCTCGCATATGGTCTAGGATCCGTGTACTCCCTCCCTCTTTGATAGCATCAAATATTTTGCTTGCTTCAATTCATTATACGAAAACTAATAAAGTTACGTCAATATTGGGTTTTATTTTTTAATCATATCAACTTTACTTTATGTCTCATTTAGAGTAAAAATTTTTAAGTTATCCGTATTAGTTATTACATGATTATGTATGCATATATTATTTTGTAAATTTCTACGTATCTTCTACAGCATATTATTAAAAATTTAAATCATATACTCTATTTAATGAATATGTCTTCCTTTTCCCGGATATAACATTCTATTGATTGGGACTGGAAACTAACGGTATTTTTTTTTGGATGATATGCAAATATATTTGTCTCTAATACTTTGTTGGCATCTTTATAATTATTGAAAAATTCCATAAACGTTGTAAAGCCCAACTCTTTAGAATCCAATAAAGCTTTGATCACTTTCTTTCCTACTTCATGATGCAACTGCTTTCGGAGGAGTTGTGCAGTGTTGAATTTCTTCTCAACTTTAGTTAGGATTTGCTGTTTAATGTCTGTGGAAACAATTTAGAAGTGATCCAAAGCAGGGTTGCATAAATTAAGCTGATGCAAAATAATGAAACCAATTCCTACCTTCAAAGGATGTTCCGGCCAGAAAATCATCTGCCATATCCTTCAGCTCTACAATTCGACCAC